AATCTTTTAATTTTTAAATAGAAAATAAATGACTAATTTTGTCATCAAATTAATTCTTTTAGATAGTTAGATATTATTTTTATCATTAAAAAAAAAAGTTAAGGAGACCAATTCAATCTTTTTTACTTTTATTTTTTAATAATTGAAAATTTATGAGATTTAATCTTAGTGTAAAAAATTAAGTTATGACTCATTTATAGATTTGAATTGAAATTTGATTATTATGTAAATAATGTCAAGATAAAGATATATTCAAGATATAAATTAATTTAAATGAATCTATAATTTTAATTTTATTTTGAAATGAAATAAAGATATATTCGAGAGCTTTAAATTTATTCAAACTAAAAATTTGGTTTATGATTTTTTTTCCTTCATCTAACAAAGCTTAACAACTAGATTAAGCAACCGAATTAGTTAATTAATCCTATGGCAGTTCAGCCTAATCTCTCCCTCATCATCCTCTTTGACATCAAGCAAGCCCATCTTGACAAGAGCTTGTTGGAAATCAAATGAAAATAAGGCCCGGTCCATGCTGTACAGATTGACCAGGCCTCGGATCATTGGGCTGTTAAAGAGGGCCTGGTCGGAGAACAGAAGCCCAGCTCCTCTTTGAATGGTGTTGAAGTAATTATTGTCGAAAATGTTGGGAGAGGCATCAAAGGCCACCGCCGTATTGTCACCCGCCAGGCATTTCTGTGAGAGGAATTTGGCGAAGCTGGGGTCCAAACTCGGGTCCTGTTGGTGGGTGGGGTCGAATTGGCTGAGGCGGTTCTTGAAAGATGAGCACCTTGCTACTCCAAGAGTGTGACCACCTGCACAGTGACAAAACACGACTCCCATAAAGCTGCAGAGTTATAATGATAAATAATTTAATATATCAATCTTCACTCTATTTTGTGTTTATAAGGCCTTAAAGATTAATTTATATGTACATTTTAGGCATGTTACTTTTAAAATTTCCCTACATCAAGCACAAATTTCAATGCAATATTCAGATTAAAAACTTCTAAATTATATTTTGAAATATATAAACTTTGAATTTATGCAATTTTATATTCGAGCTTTAATATCTCGATAAGAATAACTCATCAACATAAAAAATAATCCAATTGGAGTCCTAATGAGCCTACATCAAGCATTTGAATCATAATTAGAAACTTCATTATATTATTTGGATGAACAAATGATCTTAAATCTTACATGTTTATAATCATACTGAGCTCCTCAATAAGATGAATCCAACAAACCCAATATTGTTTAATTTTGACATCATTAAGGTGCTAAAAAACGCTAAAAGAATAATATACAATCAAGGGGATTAATATGAATTGTCCTATAAAGTATTCAATTTTTAGCTTTATTTATAAATCTCTCTCTAAAACACAAGGTT